CTCTCTCTCACACACACACACGCACACACACACACACACACACACACACACACACTCTCTCTCTCTCTCTCTCTCTCTCTCTCCCTCTCCCCCATTCACGCATATTAATTGTACATTTATTAAACTTTTTAAAATAATTGTCCAAACAGACACGTGTTAACACTACCACAGCAGAATCCTTTCCGACTAACCAACACCAAGCCACTACCGTGTCTTCCGATGGACATTTTAATATTGATCTGCACACGTCCAATCTTCCACGTAATATCTTACTTATATTCTTATTATTATTTATATTTTTAATTATTCTGATAAGAATTTTTCTGACATATTTAATTTATCACGTATTATCACATATTTATTTAATTGATTACAGAGAGAAGACCAAGAGGTACGCGGGCAGGGGCGTACCGCCAGCAAGAGCGTTTCATGCGCTTTTTATATCAGTTATCTTCGGCCCATTATAATTGGGGTCAGAGAAGACGTCCCAATACATATCAGGTAAAAATTTTTTCCACGTTCATCAAAAATGTCATAAAACAAAATTAATTCAAATAAATAATAAAATAAATATTATTCTTTTTTTAGCAACGTCCGCCGTCCAGGCAGCAATAAGATTGTTGAGTCTTTAAATATTGTTGGATAATATCCATAAGTATGCTAAGTTTTTGATTAATGTAAAAGTATTATAATTTTGTTTTATATCGATGTCGCTTAAAAGAATTTATTTTTTTTTGTTACGTTAATATCGATAAGTATACTAAGTTTTCGATTAATGTATAAGTATAATTTTGTTTTATATGCTAGTCGTTGTCGATGTCGCGTAAAGGAATTTATTTTATTTGTACACAATAAATATGTATTCGACTATTTGTATTTTATTCGTGTACTAACAATTGTAACTTGACATATTTTCTTCTTCACCCTCTAATCTCACTTTGTCCTCCTTTAATACAGTTGACTTTTTAAAAAATTTATTTATTATATAAAGTAATATTATGACAAAATTTTTTAATTTATTGCCTTCTTCGTATAAAGCTCTTTATAGTAAACAAATCAAGAAACGTCACTTGGTAATACTGTACTGCACTTAAATTTAAATCATTTTGTCCTTTTGTACTTGAGAGAATTTTTGGATATAAGTCCCTTTCCTTGTTAGTAATATTGCAGTTAAATTTAATTCATCTTGTTTATATGTATAAACAAACAAATGTATGTATTAAAAAAAAAGTAATATATGATTTTGCTTCGTCAATTCCTCAATTGTGGTAAGAAATATGAAAACTAATGAAAATGAGCATAATATATGTACAAATATGCATGTTACAAATAATAAGACAATGAAAATGATCATTAATATATAATATATTCAATTTATATAATAAATTCAATTTGTCTTTTTGTTCTTGAGAGAATTTTTGGATATATTATATATTAATGATTATTTTTACTGTCTTATTATTTGTAACATGCATATTTGTACACATACATATTATGCTCATTTTTATTAGTTTTCATATTTCTTACCACAATTGAGGAATTGACAAAGCAAAATCATATATGATTTCTTTTTTTAATACACACATTTGTTTCTTTATACATATATTTGCTTTTGTGTGCGCATTTACAAAATTTGATCAATTGAGCTTTAGATTTAAAGAAAATATATATTATATTTTATTAGGAATAATTAGTCGAATCGACGTCGGTCGACGTACGCACGCACGCACGCACGCACGCACGCACGCACGCGCGCGCGCGCGCGCGCGCGCACGCACGCACGCACGCACGCACGCACGCACGCACGCACGCACGCACGCACGCACGCACGCACGCACGCACGCACGCACGCACATTGATATATTGATCTAATTATACACATATGTATCACGGATATGTATCAATTAATATCGAACAGTTATGGATCACAGGAAGTGTCTGCTGTTCTCGATCACAGAAGTTAAGTAACGTTGATGGCGGTCGTGGCTTGGATGGGTGACCGTTAGATCTGGATTATACTTTGAAAGGAATGATCTCCTTGAAAACACCGTAAATTGTTTTTTTTTTAATATTTCATAATAGCTTTTATTTTAATTTAGATTATTTGTCCTGTTTATTTTTTAGTATTCTTTTGGAAATAATTGAAAAAAATCAGTATATATTATTTCAAACTAAATTTTGACCTTCAACATAACAGTTCAACATTAAATCAAAGTCGAAATGATGGTTGAGTAGTCGTTAATCTTTTATACGCTTTCGACGTCAAATCGACTAAAATTTCAACATTTGATTTTTCGACATTGATTTGACGTCGCATTAACCAAACAATTTTCTGACTAAACATTTAATTATATAATTAAATAACGCTTAATTTAATAATTAAGTACCATTTAATTGATTAATTAAATATCATTTAATCGATTAATTATTTATCACTTAATCGATTAATTATCATTTAATTGATTATTTAAATGTTACTTAATTAATTATCGTTTAATTGATTAAATTATTAATTAGCCTCCTTCCCCGGGACCTACATTCTCCCCTCCCCTGACCTTGACCTACATTTGATCCAGAACCCGCCTATGTACTGTACTACTTTTAATACAATTCAAACCGAAGCTATCGATTGAATCTACTTAGAAGTCGATTGGATCAGCCGTTATTGAGATTTGAAAATCTCGGGTGCATGCAATTCGTCGGCTCGCGTAAATAAAATCTGGTTCGTCTTGTATAATCTTTATTCTATTTCAGATATATGAATATATTTATACATATATTTAGAATAGATATATTTTATTAAATTTATGTGCATAAGATTATGTAACTATAAAGTTTATTTAAATAAATCTGTAAATGTATCTCGTAGCTTACAAAATTTTTGAACTGTTATCTTCAATGAATTAACATTTTCCTTACCGTCCAATTACCTCTCCCGTTGATTAAAAAGTTTTCTGGTGTTTGTCCACGATTATTTCTATATCGACCAGGAAAACGCTCCAATGCTAATTCATGGATCCAATCACTGATAATAATTACATGTTCTGGAAGATCCTTATCGTATAAAGCTTTATGAGGATTCAAGCTTGGTGGATCACGTACAATAAGAGATCCATACTGTCCATCCATCATATGCACTGATTCATGAGAATGATAGAAATGTGTTCCTGAATTTTTAACCTTAAATTGGTATCTGTAGAACAAAATTGTGAGGAAAAATTAAGAAAGAGATTAAAAGAAAAGTACTAATATTTTTAATATTTTCAAAATTCAAATACATTTAAAGGCATTTAGTACAGTAACTTTAGGATTTGACCTCGGAATAAATACATACCAGCTGAATTTTTGCACAGACCTTCATTTTTACATAAGATATGAAGGAAACAAAAGTTTACCATTGTACAGTGGCCGCTAAGAAAAATAATTAAACAAATAGGGTTCAAATTTTGGTTTTTTGCAAATATCTCATTAAATATCGACTTTGTAAAGAAAATACAAGAGAGAAAAATTAAAGAACGGAAAATTTTACACAAAAAATAATGTATACATTTTTTTCATACAAGCAATACTTTTCACGCTAGAAATTATACAAGATACGCGCTGCGCGGTAGAGTTACGGAACGCGCCGACAGACGTCAAGCGGATTGAAGCGTCGCACGCGCGCACAAAAAGTGTCATAACTTTTAAACGAATCATGATACAGACATGGGCCAAAAAGCGTTGTAAAGTTGAAACATTCAACTTTTTAGTGCAATTGGTTTCATTATTCTACGACAATTTTTGACAATTGTACGATAGTTTAAACAATATCTTACATGTCATTTTTGCCGTTTTTCATAAAATTAACCAAAATTCGATTTCAAATCGTTTAAAAAAAAATTGTGTACAGAATATTACAGTACATACTTCATACTTTATCCACACAAGAGAAAAAAATTCTATAAAATTTTCTTCGTTAAAATCAAGCTGATGACACTTTCAAAAATTTTCAAGATTTTTGTTAAAACGTTAAACTTGAAATTGTCGTAATTTTGCGAAAAATTGCACTAGAATAGTTTTTAAAAAAGCAATCAAAAGCCAGGAATGTCTACTTTTAGGTTTTGTAATGCAATATTCTGTTTTTCTTTAATTTTTTATTTATTTACATAAATATGTGAATTTTCGCGTAAAACTTGTTTAAACTTGTGCTGATTCTGATCATTATAAGGTTTTAGAAACAAACAAATGATTAAAAGTGTACAAATTTATATATTTTTATATATTGTTTATACATTTTGTTATACAAGGTGTCCCATTTTAATGTTCCACCTCAAGTAACTTTTTTATTTTTGATCTTAGAAAAAATGTTACAGACAAAAGTTGTATGGCTTTGAGGGAGACATAAGGTGGTGTCATTAGTGTGACCTTGAGTAGTTGCTTGAAGGCCATGTGAAGGTTACCTTCAATTTCTTAAATGGAACCTCCTATGTTTTATTGCATATTCTTATAGATCATCTCGAGAGCTTTCCAAAACTGAGTACCTTTTCGTTAAGTACTTATTAAGTTATAAGGCAAGACTACAACTCTTATCTTCCCTTGACCAGCTGGAACGTGCCGTTGTCTTGCCTTGACTGGCTGGATCGTGCCCTTATCAAGCCTTATAACTTAACAAGTACTTAACAAAAATGTACTCAGTTGTAGTGTTTTGGAAAGCTCTCGAGGTGATCTACAAGAATGTGCAATAAAAAGTAGGGGGTTCCATTTAAGAAATTGAAGGTAACCTTCACATGACCTTCAAGTAACTATTCAAGGTCACACTAATGACCA